TTTAACACTTGAAGTGTTGGCTTAATTTTTCAGAACCGTTGCTGCTGCCTGGTGATAATTCTCTGTATTACGTTTATTTCTGCCTCTGTAGGTCTGCGTGCTGCCAGACACATAACAAAACAGTCAAATGAACATTTCTTACTCGGTGCTGTCGCTGATGTCCGACTGAATGTACAGCATCTCTATCAGCGACGTGTAGAAGAGGCTGTTTTCGTTCAGGATGTCCCCGATCATCCTCAGGGCACCACGACTCAGATTGCCCACCTTCACCAGGTATTCCTGTCAGCAATCAAATGTAAAATGTGAAAATATTCAGATTCAAGCTACCACCTGCGTGGCAACGTGAAGATGTTTACCTTCACTGTGTAGGAATCGTATTTATCAATCATGGCGCTGCAGCCGATGGTCTTGAGATCATCCTGCACCTGCGCACAGATTACAATTAGAAACAGCCCTGTCCTTGTGCAACTAAAAATCCTCACAATATTATAACATTAATATGTGTAATGTATACAAACCTTCCAGAGCGCCTGACTGAAGAGTTGAGCTGCTGACTTCCCCCTCTCTCCTTCATTCAAGCTGTAGTTCAGCACATTGGGATTGTTTCCCACGGCGCCCGTTTTCTGTCGCACTCCATTTATAAAATAGTAGGTGTTCACGTCATTCTGGATGAAGGGGTTTAGGGAAATTTGTAATTTGGAGGCGAAGGAAAGCAGAATCCTGTGGAATAGATAGTGTGTATTCAATATTTTATATATGTCAGAGAGATTTGACATTGTTCTTTTGAGGCAAGACCACTGGTGGATGAAGTACCGTACAATCTTAGTGGCAATCTTAATGATTTGCCACTTTAAGTACGGTACTAAATCAAGTACTTGAGTGCTTAGATACTGTAGTTATTTGTTGATGGAACAACGTTTCTTTAACATTATCAGTCCTCTCATGTCACTGTCATGTTATACCCCAGCAAAAGTCATGACTGGACTCACTTATCAAAGCTGGTGTAGTGGTTTAAAAAGTACAATATCCCTCTGAAATATAAGTACTTCAAAATTGCAATTTTAAAGATTTTCATTTGAATAAATGTCTCTTAAATCACTGTCTATCACCAAAGGAGGTTATACAATAGTGATTGAGATTAAGGGGAATATTTAAATATTTGCAGTATTATGAACTGAGTGTATGTGGCGACATTCCTGCAAAAAAAATGCTGTATTACAATTTTCTTCTCTGTTGCATACACACACAAAATTGGATTAATTCACACAAAATAGCTTTTTGCAAACAGCGCAAAGACTCAAGAATGATAAACTATGAAATTATAAATCAACCAGGACTGAAATCGTAAGGATTGACACTTTAAGTACGGGACTAAATCCCTTGAGTACTTAGTTACTGTAGTTATTTATTGATGGCATGATTATGACTGGACTCACTTATGAAAGCTGGGGATCCTCATGGCGCCCACTTCTGCGTACCAGCCTTCTCTACTGTCCCTGAAGGTCTCCACTCGTCCTCCAATGCGGTTACTGGCTTCTATTATGGTCACCTTGTTGTCCACAGAATCACCACATCAAGTGTCACTCAGAAACGGTGTGCTCATGGTGACATGTCACGTCATTATTTCCTCTTACCTTATGTCCGGCATCTTCTAAAAATTTAGCGGCAGTGAGTCCAGCGATGCCCCCGCCGATGACTGCGACATGTCGAGGAGCCTTAGAGGCGGGGAGGCCTTTAACCACCATGTCCAGGAGCTCGCTGTAGTCAGCGTCCTGGAGGCACTCGTTCAGAGGGTCTGCAAAGATCCCACTCACGGCAAACACCACGACCCCGACGAGAACCAGAGGAACTGACACTGACAAGAGATGGAGATGATATCAGTCAGACTCCCCGGTGCTCTTCCTTCAGGACATGCTGGATTTTTAGAGTTCCTCAAAACCCCTCCAAAAAGAAAATTGGACTAGTATTTCCTTTGTATTACGTCTGTATTCACTTAGATGTGGAAGATTAATTTAATAAGTTATCAAATCTTATATCGAAACTATTAAATGAATGAATTACGTAACAGCAGTTCTTCTATACTTACAGAACTTGCACATGTGAGGGATCATCTTGAGACCGGAGCTCCATGGTCTGGACTTCCTCCCACCGAGACTATTAGAAGACCAGGGAACCTTCCAAAATAAACAATGTACAGGTTTGGAGAAAACCACTCAGGCAGCATTATCATGAACAAATGAAATGATCAACTGAGCTGAAAGTGTTCAGTTTAAAACTGTTTTTCTTTTCTAAAAACGCGTAAAAGACACATTGACTTTGGTGGAAACATGACTAATCATTTAGAGAAAGAGAAATAGCAGCAGGTCAGACCGGACTATCTCTGCATTCCACTCACCTTTATCAAAGGTAAAGTCTCGTAAGTGGTCATAAGTCTGTTCATGACTGAGGAGAAATGTCCTTCGATTGAGCTCAACCTTCACCGCTTGTGTCTGGAAGAAAAAAAGAAAACCCCTCTGGACGCGTGGTATGTGTGAAATTACGCACAACGTAATCTTAATGAGGGGGACTGTGTGGCTCCTCGGGTCTTACAGAAATATGTTCCCACACCGGCTCGAGAGTCAACCACACTGAACAAATGAGATTAGTGAGGCTACACCGGTCATCAGCAGACCTCATTTCCTCCATCTTCACTTTCTCTCAATATCTGACCTGAAAGGGCTCATTCAGTGGTACCCCGAAACGCGTCACGTCTTCATTATTTCTATTATGAATATCCTGTAGTTTTTGTATGCATGTCTTGAAATGTTTTTTACCGCTTACCTGTAAAAACGTATGCTCTTTATTGGCTAAATAAAGCACATACACAGCTTTTACAGGATGCTAAATAAACGCAAAAGCAAGAATAAAAGAAAAGCAGAGTTTTATTTTCCTGACATTAGCTGCATTGTCATTATTTTTGTATTTAAAGCTAACTGCTGAATAACTACTTTTGAAGAAACTGGTTCAAATGAACAAAAACATGATGATTAAAGATAATGGAAAAAGCGGAACTCACAACTTCAAGAAACCTTTTTCTCATACATAAAGTCTACTTCATCCAGAATCCAGCACGACATTATTGAAGGCAAGACAATTTAAACAAACACGATAGGTTAATAAAATAATAGTCAAAATAATCTAAAGCAAGAAATCAACCAAAATAAGTCTAAAACATATATATTAAATAATAATAATATTCAATAGGCAAGGCAAGGCAAGTTTATTTGTATAGCACATTTCAACAACAAGGTAATTCAAAGTGCTTCACATAAAACCATTAAAAGCATCAAAACATGAGGCAAAAGAAAATGTGATTTAAAAACAATTAAGAACATTCATTGAAACATTAAAAACAGCCATTAAAACATTAAAAAACAGTGTAATAAATAAAATACAGTAGTAAAATGGAGGAAATTGATTAATATCCTTGAATTAAAGGCAGCAGCAAACAGAAAAGTCTTCAGTCTTGATTTCAAGGAGCTGAGGGTCTCAGCAGACCTGCAGCTTTCTGGGACTTTGTTCCAGATATGTGGAGCAGAAACACTGAACGCTGCTTCTCCATGTTTAGTTCTGACTCTGGGAACAGGAAGTAGACCGGTCCCAGACGACCTAAGGGGTCGGGATGGTTCATAAGGTAGCAGCAGATCAGAGATGTGTTTTGGCCCTAAACCATTCAGTGCTTTGTAGACCAGCAGCAGGATTTTAAAGTCTAGTCTTTGTTGGACAGGAAGCCAGTGCAAAGACCTCAGAACTGGAGTGATGTGATCCACCCTCCTGGTCTTAGTGAGGACTCGAGCTGCAGCGTTCTGACTGACTTGTTACAGAGACCTGTAAACACACCGTTACAGTAGTCCAGTCTGCTGAAGATAAATGCATGGACAAGTTCATCTCAATAGTCGTTTCTTATGTTTGGAATGAATCCACATGTGTGAGCGAACAGCAGAACCCAGAGATGTTGTGTAGACACAGACATGAGAGTGGTGTCTTCGGATTTCACCGACATTATTATTATTTTTTGGTTGCATCATACAGTTGAACAAAATACCTATATCTATTTGTCTCTATTGTCTAATTATTTTTATTTTGAACTATATTTTGAGTCAGATTAGTGGTTCATAAGCAGGAAAAACGACTATGAAGCAGCATGTCGTCCCCTAGTCAGTTAACCCACTCATCATCTAAATGTTGAAGGATATATTTAGTTTCCAGCCTAATTGTTTTTATTCTCTCTCAAATCAAGTCTCAAGCTGGTGCCAGGAGACGATTAGCTGACTCAGCATAAACAATGGAAGCAGTGGAAACAAGGCTAGCCGGGCTCCGTCCAAAGTCCACAGCCCTGTCCACCCAAACATAAAGCTTTTTAATTCACATCGTGTTCATTCGGTAATCCATATAGGTACACCACGTACAGTACAGTGTGTTTAACGAGCTTTAGATTAGCTGGCAATGCCCTCGTTTCAACTTTGCAGAGAGCTGTTTGTGCCAGTGTTTATGCTAAGCTAAGCTAATCGTAGCTGGTCCCGGCTCTGTGTTCAGCACACAGACATTAGAGTCAAACTAAATAATAATAATAATAATAGCTTTATTTATATAGCACCTTTAAAAACAGAGTTTACAAAGTGCTTTGACAGACAAAGCAGCAAAAGCACGATAACAATAACAGAAAGATCAGTGAGACAGTCGATACCATACAAATAAACTAAGAAATAAATAAAATAATATACATAAATATATTTAGAAAAATAATTAAGTAAAATCAACAAATAAAAATAAAACAGAAAAGCGATGGCATCACATAAAAGCCAGTCTGTAAAAATGTGTTTTATGAAGTGATTAAAAAGAGATTACTGATTCTGCGAGCCTTCAAGTTGTCCAAAGACACCATTTTATCATCATAAAAACAACATTTCCCATGAGCCTTAGCCACTTAAAAGCCTCGTGGGAGCTGTAGTTGTTGAATGCCAAAAAAAAGATCCTATTTTTTCTGGGCCCCGTTCCTCGTACAGGATAATTGCGCGTGCCCGTCCTACTTCAGAAGGGGGAAGCGTCGATCACCGAAACCATGATTTCCTAACAGCACAATGTTAAATAAAGTGAAAGAAAGAGCCTCTTTTTACTCCGCGGACGAGCAGGAGATGATCATGAACGCATATGAGGAATTCAAGACCATAATCACGGCAAAATGCGTAAGGAAATGCGTAAGTGTGGGAAAATGTATAGGCTAATTTTAAGTGCCTCATCACCCCAATCAATCAGATGATATGTCTTTAAATGAGCTGCTGGCAGTAGGCTTCATGAATGCATCATCCAATGAGATATAGCGAAAATAATAATAATGATCTCAACTCTTTCACAATAAGATAAAAACAAGCCCAAAGAGCATCTAACTGGTACTCATTAATATGAGGATATATGTACTGTATGCCCTCATGTATCATGTACTATATATGTGTATATACATGTATGTGTAGATCACCATATAGAACTAGCAGTTTGAATGTGTGTGTGAATCTGTGTGTGGGCGGATCAGTGTGTGTGTGTGTATTATTCATCATCACACATTCAATCAACTGAAGCAGTGAAGATAAATAGTGTGTGATTCTCTCTGTTCTTATCATGAGTCCACCTTCATCATGTTCTACAGTAATGATATGCTGGTGTACTAATAACACTGTCATATCATTATGAGTGCTTTAACCCTCATGTATGCAACGCAGCCATCAAGAGGACATGGGAGCAAGTAAACACTAACACACACACATTACTCAGAATGCTGAGTCAGTACAATATGTACCATGGTGATGTAATGAACACATCCATAAGTTTATTAAGCGCCTAATGAACTTTACCAACAGCACGGCATGCAGCGGCTTTCCCCATGTTCTCCGCATCGCCAACACTGTACAACAATGTACCACTCGCAAAGCGCAAGACTGCATCCAGTCTGAGACAGTCAATGCTCGGCTGCGGTGTGTGGTGTTCAATGTATGCTCCAGAAGGTCTGTAAATAAATGATTCCTTGTGGACAGAATTGATGGCGCTCGTATAGGAAGTCTTCGTGATGTGATAACGGATCTTGGCGATGTGGAAGAACTCTCTCCCTATAAAACGCTAATCTAACTAATATCCTCCTTCATCAGTGGATCTCTGAGGAAGGGAGCTGTACATTAATGCAATAGAGGCTTCTTAGTTTGCTCAGCTGCTTTAATGGATCACCGTGTGTCTCACTTTACATGCATTTCTGGAACTCCCATATAACCCCCGGTATATGCGCAAGCGCATTAGACTACCATATATGACAGGAGCTGCCATGTTTTCCGGGGGAGTGGCAGCTTATCCAGCTACCTTCAGTTAGCCTGCGCTGGAGCAGCTTCAAGCTAATGGATGTGTTGCCATGGTGATTTTGCCATACTTGCTTCGTGGAACCGAAAAGCCTCACTTATGTAATCTTATCCTGAAAATTATCCGGCTAACTCAGTTAGCCACGTACGAGGAACGGGGCCCTGTTCTTTTTTCTTTTTCCTCATTTTAACTGACGTCATCATACCGGAAGTAAACAAACCAGCCGAGGCTCAAGACGCTCACGAGACCTACCATCCCGTGCCATGACAGCTCGCGCAGGTTTAACACATTTATATTATATTTGAAAATAAACCATAGCAGGGGAAATGTTTATCTAGGAAATGACTACACTTGCACGTGCAATGTTGCACTGTGCACGCGATGTGAAGCTGCAGCTAGCTACGATGCTTCCAGACCTCTAGCTAAAAATGTACACATTCAAGCTAAGTGTGAGTATTACTACAGAGTGCCACCTCACAGGACATTAGGTGGGACATCAAACAAAAGGTTACGATCTTATCTTTAATTCGGCATCAAAGCAGGACGCCAAAAATGAATCTGTTTGTTAATATTTGGACTTGTAGCCCCCTCCCCCCCGCCTCTCATTAACGTTGTTAACCGTGGAAGCGGAGACGGAGGAAGTCTGAAAACGTCAATTTAAGTCATAAAGTAGATGATTATGTTGAGATGTATTGCTTCAGGTCGAATAACCTGTATGCCGAATGTTCTGTTGTTGCGTTTAATGGAGTCTTAAAGCTGCTAGAACCATGTTCGTCCGTCGTTTACGTGACATGCAGCAAATTAGTACGAAATTGTCGAATTTTTAATCGGGATTTGGTTGCGCGTTTTCTCACCAGAGCAGATAATAACGGTATTTAATCAAACACGTTGCACAGCTGGTGAAGGTTGTTAGAACTAATAGATACAGATACAAGTATTAATAATGGTGTGGTATTTATAATACATATTGCATATCCATAAGTAGCTACATTTGTTTTTAATGTAACTATAGAATAGAATAAAATAAGTAAATGTAATAATCCTTTATTAATCCCGCAGTGGGGAAATGTACAGGATTGCAGCAGCATAGTGGAGTGTGTGTGTGTGTATATATATATATATATATATATATATATATATATAACTTTTTGGTTTTGTTTTTTAAAGGTGTGACGTCGCTGTGGCACGCATGAACTCCACATCTCCTCCCGAGGGTGTGAAGCCGGACGGTCGCCTCCGCAGCACGATGGCCGAGGTGCTGGGACAGAAGAGCTTGTTGGGCTTCAGCGTGCTGTTGGCCTGGCTGGTGCTGTTCCACCTGCTGGTCAACATCTGGCTGCTGTGCGTGTTCACCAGCCTGCTGGTGGTGCTCGGCGGCTGGCTCGGCTCGCAGGCCGTCCTGGAGTCCAACAGCGTGGTTCACCTGGAGAGGTTTATCATCCTGGAGCAGGTACATGTGCACAGTGTTGGTTTCACTTGTCATTTATAGACATGGTCATAAAAGCTTTATTGGTGTTCTGGGGAAAAGATGATCTCATCCTTTCTTTCTGTTGTGAAACGGGGACTCATCACTATATTCACACTTGTTTTATCGTGGTTATACTTCAGGTTCCGCCGTCTGTGGAGGATGAGCATCACTTGGACCAGGAGATCCACAACACAGTGAGGAAAATCATCAGGGACTTCGTCACCTCGTGGTTCGCCACCGTGTCCTCAGAGAGTGGGTTTGAGACGGAGGTGCAAGAGGCCATGGTCTCTATGGCCATGGAGCTGAAGAGCCGCGCGAGACAGCTCGACAGGAAGGTACTCAGATTAAAGACACGGACAGTTGTTGTGTGCTTTACCTGCACTTTGTGTAACCTTTTCTGCAGTGATCTAATCCATTCTATTGATTTGGATAAGCGTTTAAGAGATACAAGCATGGTCATTTAGTAAATTATGGTCCATTTAGAGTCAAACAGACCATAAAACAGGTGATGCTTTAGGGCGGGGCTACACTGTGATTGACAGGTGTAACGTTTTGAACCTCTGCAGGAGCTCACCCAGAGGATCCTGGATCTGTTCGGCTGCCACCTGCAGGACTACATCAGAGCCAAGGAGCTGGTGTCTGAGCAGCCGGAGCCCCCGGCGGGGAAGTGGAGCGGCGAGAGTGATCGGCTGTGGCGGGCGTACTCCACGGTGACCGCGCCTCACCTCGCCATGACCGGCGATGCGGTGCAGCTCAACTACACCCGAGCGGTGGTGGATTTGCTGCTGCACGTGTTGGTGCCGCCGCCTCACTTGGAGAGCCGCACGGGACGGTTCGTGGTCGGGGAGCTCATCACCTGCAACGTCCTGCTGCCGCTCTTCGCCAAGCTGTCCGACCCCGACTGGCTGAACTTTCTCGTGATCACGATATTCGGCAAGTCGCGCAAACCACAGGAGCCGTTCTCGACGGAGCAGTTGGCTTTGTCTCCGTCGCTGCTGCCACCATCACCACCATCACCTGCTGACTCAGAGCTCGCTCCACTTCAAGAGACGCCTCAAAGGGAAGGTGAAGCTCCTCCGCTGAGAGAAATGCTCAGTGACGCGGAAACACCCGAGCTCGTCGCCTACGACGTGATCGACTCCGAGTACGCGGAATGTCCGCAGAGCAACGCCGAGGAAGAAGAGCCAGCTCTGCCCTTCCCAACGCATTACATGAGGGGCAGCAAGTCCAACCCTTTTTACCAGGAAAACGACTCTGACCTGGATTCTCCTTTGGGTGACTATAAGCGAGACTCCATCGATTCCCTGGTCATGATCGGCCAAGAGGACGGCCTGTACGACGGACAGAAGGAGCGTCCCGCGTCTGTGGAGGACAACAATGGCGTGGACCTGGAGGACGTGTTCCCCAGTCTGGTGGACGGCTCCTGTCCCAGAGTCCTGGTGACTTCAGAGCCAGCGGAGCATCCCAACAACGGCTGCGACCTCTCTTCGGTGAGGACGTCGGGGGGCCTCCAGGACCCGGAGAGGGAGGGTTCCCCCTCAGTGAACCCGGCCAGGGAGCTCCTTCTGGGGACGGAACAGAACGAGCCGACCGTGGTCGGCCCGTCGCAGGGCTCCTCCCCTCAGGCCACATTCAGCTTCGAGCCCCTCATCAGCCCCGATGGGCCGGTCATCATCCAGAACCTCCGCATCTCCGGCACCATCACGGCTAAGGAGCACCGCGGCACCGGCTCACACCCGTACACCCTCTACACCATCAAAGTAAGGAGACGACACCATCTTTTGTATCGTTTTAAAGATCTTTAACATAATCTTCGTTATGTAAAGGTAGCATTTTAAAGTGAGAATGATCTATAACATAGATAATGTTGACATTTTGGACCTATAGTATTTATAACACATTCTTTAAATATATTATCAATGTTGGTTTCAAAGGAGAGCTTGTGTTTCTCCCACACGTCCACCTATATGTCATATTGGTACAATGATACGTAGCTTTGATACTGAGACATTTTACACACTGCGTCACAAACAGAAATATGTTACATGCAACATAACTCGTGACAGGAATGTGCAGCACATGAGGAATTCTCGTTCCTGTGTTTGTTTTTCAGTACGAGACAGCGATGGGCTGTGAGACTCCGGGGAGCTCCCAGACGGGCTCTGAGGATGCTGAGGTCGCCCCGTCAGGGTGTGGGAATCCATCGCCCGTCCAGCAGGTAGCCTACCACATGGTCAACAGACGATACAGCGAGTTCCTCAACCTGCAGACCCGAGTGGAGGAGAAAACAGAACTACGGAGACTCATCAAAGGTGGGAGGGACGGACTCAAACAGAGCGTTTGTGTTTGATTTAACATGTAAAAACCCTGTTTCAGTGGCTTTAGTGAGCTGTAGTCTGGCTTGGATGAATCCATGCATGTCCCACAAACAGACCTGGATTTCTTGACCTAATAGACAGGGTTCGTACGGTCATGGAAAACCTGGAAAAGTCATGGAATTTTAAAATGGTTATTTCCAGGCCTGGAAAAGTGCTTGAAAAAAATAAAATCCCAAAAGTTTTGGAAAAGTCATGGAAATGTGTTCTATTCATATTTTCATGTCCTTCATTTGCGCTGAGTTGCCAGCCAGCGTTTCTCAGATTGGAGTGAGACAAGGAAAAAATGTGATGTCGTGATCTTCGCAATAGAACATCTTTCACGTGTCGAGTCTTGGCCAATCAGCGTTCAGATGTCTACAGCGTCTTCATTTCCCTCCGTTAACGTTTAAGTTCCGTTATGTACCATTACAATTCAGACTTAGAACTTTGTCGACTGTTAACTTTCGTCATTATCACGATTTAGAAGGAAACAACGTAATGTGATGAAACATGAAGCCCCTCCGTGTTCCGGTTCAGTTCACGCGGTCGCTCGTTAACGTTAAACCGGAACACCGGCGCATCTGGTTGCAGGTTGTTTTTTTTAACTCAAAGTAGAATGAGATGATTTCGTGGTCAGAATAACTTTCATGACCACGATGATGAGGCCCAGATACTGATGAGATGATGAGGTCAAAGAGCTTCAGGGAGAGGAGGCTCTTTGTGTAGCGCAGCTTGATGCAGGTCTGAGCTGTGAGTGGAGCGGGGCCTGGATAAAGGTGGAGCGGGGCCTGGATAAAGGTGGAGGTCTAAACAGACGTGAGTACAGCTTCCTGCTGTCAGTGTTTTAAATACACTGATAATGTCACGATCAGGCTTTGCCTTGTGTGTTCTGTGTGTCTTTGTTTAGCTTCAGCCTAACTCCCTTCACCTGCCGCTAATCAAGCACTCTACCTGTCAGCCACTCCCTCAGCACCAGTCCAACTCAGCCACTCCCTCAGCACCAGTCCAACTCAACCACTAACTCGGCACCAGTCCAACTCAACCACTAACTCGGCACCAGTCCAACTCAACCACTCCCTCGGCACCAGTCCAACTCAGCCACTAACTCAGCACCAGTCCAACTCAGCCACTAACTCAGCACCAGTCCAACTCAACCACTCCCTCGGCACCAGTCCAACTCAGCCACTAACTCAGCACCAGTCCAACTCAACCACTCCCTCGGCACCAGTCCAACTCAACCACTCCCTCAGCACCAGTCCAACTCGGCAACAAAATTTCTTTGTTGTTGTTTATTATTATCAATACATTTTTTAAACTATTAACAATTATTAACGATATTAACGATGCCTTGATTACATATACATCAGTCATTGTATGGAATTATTGAGAAAATATATTTTTGGAGCACCTCAAATATTGTGATATTACCCATTTTTGTCCTGAACTTATGCATTAGTCATTGTGTGGAATTTTTGAGAAAAACATTTTTATAGCACCGTAAAAATTAAAAAAATGTGCCATTTGAAGATACAAATTCAGTTCAGAGTTTTCACTGAGTAGAATATCTTAATTGACTGTCAGTCAGGTATTATTCATTAGCAACCCTCAAATCAAAGAATGAAGACACTTTACGCACAATTTAGGTGTATTTTACCTTTAACTCACGAGATGCAGGTAGCATGTTTTATACTTAATGTGAATATAATTCATTTAATCTAATTTCCATTATGCAATATGTATACTTTGTTGGCATCTTATTCTGAAAACCGGATGTTCGTTTGAAGAAACCGGATGTTGTCTCACGTTAATCTTTCCGCTCTGAAGTGTAAGTGTCCGCAGTCTCGCAGTCTCGCAGTCAGGTCTGATGAAGAAGCGCTCCATTTATTTATTTGTTTAGAACGTTCGGTTCTTCACTCACAGCAACATCAGTCGAGGCGAAAATCAAAACCATTCTATGGCAACTGGACCGGGTCATAGAGGCTACGATGTTTTTGACAAGTTCATTAAATTATCATTATTATTAGAGGAAATTATGGGGGCATTTTTTTGCCCCTCTCCTAGTGATATCAGGGGCAAAATTATATTTCTTAGGGGCAGTTTTGCCCTTTGCCCTCGTGTATTTCCGACGCTGGTTTGTGTTGTACCCGCCTGTTTGTCTTGTCCTGCTCCCGGTTTCCCACGTCTGCCTGCCCTGCCTCGTCCTGCTGGATTTGCCCCCTCGTCTCTTGTCTCGTCCTTGGATTCCCTGTGCGTGTTCGTATTTCATTAAAACCCTTCATCTCACTGCATCTGGCTGTCTGCGCTTGAGTCCTCACCATGCCCCGTGGCAGATAAGGCAGGCTATGCTAAATGTAGCCTCTGCTCCATGAGATGAACTACAGCAACAAGGGCTCACGTGTCCTCTCATCACACTGTTCACTGTGATGACCACAGCCAGTGTACCAACAGGCCCAACAGTCCCACGTTGCTCTCAAGAACCCTGAAGTAATGAGAGGGTTAAGGAGCCTGTACCTTCATTTCAGCAGGTTGCTAATGCAGAGGTGTGTATAGATCACAGCTATTATTTTACTCTTGATAAAGAAGAAAGAAGAAAAAAAAAAAGAAACCATTTTTATTGTCATATACATACACACGAAATTTGACCTCTGCATTTGACCCATCCCTGTATATAGGGAGCAGTGGGCTGCCAATGACAGGCGCCCAGGGAGCCGGGGGTTCAGTGTCTTGCTCAGGGACACTTCGACACGTGGCACGTCCCAGTCGAGGATCAAACCGTTGACCCTGCGGTTACCAGACAACCCTCTTAACCCAGTCCCCAAACTAAACTACCTTAGCCAGAGTAGATTATCATTTTAATAATTGAACTGGATTGAATGCATATTAATTGCAAATATAAGATAGGCCACAATTCTAACAGCTGTACAGTAACAGTGGAAGTTAATATGAAGCCGTACAGCAACAGGGTTCAATGAAACGTGCACTAGCTGGATGTTACTACCTACTAAAGCTCTTATTGATGTGTCAGTGTTATGAATACCTGTCGACCAGAATACATTTATAAATGTTTATTCTTTTAATCAAACCATTGTCTCTCATTCGTTTGTGTCATTTAAGGTATACTGTATGCTTTGGAATTCTCATTGTTAGTTTAAATACTACATTTTCTCACTTTTACATGTATACACCGAGATTTCACAAAATGTTTGGTCATGGAAATTTGGTGAAAAGTCATGGAAATCCATTGGTCAAAATGTGTATGAACCCTGACTAGATCCAGTCTGACTGATGTTTGATACTTAATTATTTAATTGTAATGTTTCAGGTGTGAAAGGACCAAAGAAGATATTTCCAGAGATGCCGTTTGGAAACATGGACAGTGACAAGATAGAAGCCAGGAAAGGACTTCTGGAAACCTTCCTGAAGGTTTAGTGGCTTCATATTGTATTATTTATGCTTATTATATTTTAATGCTTGTTTTTTTTTATCTAGCAGCTTTTTCTTTTCTTCTCTTTCAGCAACTCTGTGCCATCCCTGAAATAGCCAACAGTGAAGAGATGCAGGAGTTTCTGGCTCTCAACACCGACGCCAGGATCGCATTTGTCAAGAAACCTTTCATTGTGTCGCGCATAGACAAGGTATGTCATAAACACCGGGTTCATCACATCATCAGGAGAAGTAATCACTGTGTCGATCGAGCCACTCGTCAGCTGGTTTACTCCAGCTGTATCAACCCAAAATACACACATTTTACTGTGATTTAATTGCCATAAACGGATAAAAAAGATGCCGAAATAACTACATAATAATGAAGATTTTGTCTGAAGTCTGAAGTCATGTTTTGTTAGTTCTCTCCTCAAGACGACAAGCAAATAACTGCATGGAGTTTGGATGGATCGGTGCTAAGCTAAGCTAACATTGTAGCTGCTTTATCAACTCTCAAAATAACGTCACATCGGCGTAAATACGTCAGCGTCGTTATTGTTTGTACCATCTGGTTTATACACATACATTCATATGCATAGTTTCTGTGTGCTAATATGAGGCGTTTAAATCGTGAATTTCGCGTCTGTATTTGCGTCCATTCACGTCTTTGCATTGACTTTGTTTGTAATCCGTTTGGTGTGAACACAGCACGAGTCTCTATTGGGTTCATAGTGAGTTTGTAATGTACAGGACATGTGTTATGTGTGTGTTTGTGCTCAGATCGTGGTGAACGCCATCGTGGACACCCTGAAGACAGCGTTTCCTCGCTCAGAACCTCAGAGCCCGACTGAGGACAATGAGACGGAGATGGACGGAGGAAAAATGAGTTGTGACAAGAAGAGCAAGTATGACTCCAGAAATCCAGACCAACTTTTATCCTCATAATATCCCGAAAACACAAACCCAAACAATTGTGGCCGTGTTTTTTTTACCAGGTGGCAACTTGTAGTTCTTAAGAGTGAAGCCGATGCTTCATGTGTTAAAGCTGCATTCTCTCTAGTGACCAC